GTCTAGGTCCATCGACCTGGACCTGGTCTGAGGCTGACTCAACCAGGGGACCCAATATATAGGCTATCTGTCCTCGTAACCACGTTTTACCTGAAGACGGAAGCAGAATCTAGGTTTCGAAACAATGCAGTTTTTTAGTTTTGTAATTTAGATAATGGACAAAGACGAAAAGAACAATTTTGTACATAAAACGCACCATCATCAGAAACATTGACTCAAAATTCTTTCACCCCCACCAAGTGATTTTGAAAAGTTTTCGTCGTCTGTAATCCTCATTCTGTCTTCCCGAGGGACATTTATCTTAGACTTTGATTACAGCGCAAGGTCAGTTGCAGCCCCATCTCGTTCTGTGTGATATTTTCTCACCCTCCGTCCTCACCTTACAGCTGACTGACGAGATGGGTCTGTGCGGTGGTTTGATACAAGTCAACCAGCGACAGGTGGAAAATCGATATATTTGTGATGGATTATCTTGTCTCTTTCCGTCAATACATGACGTGCACAAGATCCTGTGCGGATGCGAGACGGGGCGCGTGCAAAACTGCTTCTAACGTGTTCCAGACGCCCGGTTCCGTAGTTAGGACTCTCGCTTTCGGGCAGGTTTTCTGTAGGTCTTGGGTTTTAATTCCGCACCCTTTGGTCGGCTGTCGTTTTCGTAAGTCGGAGTTTACCGCTAGAGATAAACGCCATATCTCCTTCTTTTGTTTTCTTGGCCAGTGATATCGCCGACACGAGGCAAAAGTTACTTATCTGCAAAAATATAGTTTTTTTTTCTGAGTGGGTAAAACATTCGTCTTACGTTCTGTTGCAATTTATGCTTGACGAAGTGTAAAACGTCCACCGTCCACTCATTTTTGTAGGTTCGTAGTACGAATATACAGGAATACCTCGTTTTATTGCGCTTCGCTTTATTGCTTTTCTTTTAATACAAATTCAAGGTTTGTGGCAACCCTGCGTCGAGCAAGTCTATCGTCGCCATTTTTCCAACAGCATGTGCTGACTTCGTGTCTCTGTGTCACATTTTGGTAATTCTCGCAATGTTCTCTTAGACGTAATGCTATTGCACACTTAACAGACTACAGTATAGTCTAAACATAACTTTTATGTGCACTGGGAAACCAAACAAATTCGTGTTACTCGCTTTATTGCGGTGGTTAGAACCGAACCCGCAATATCTCCGAGGTATGCCTGTATAGCACAAATCATGTTTTACTAAAATTCTGATCAGTGGAGAGTGTTGAACATGTGTAAAGTTCGTTGATATACATTTTGAGACTAGCAAAACAAGCAGAAAACTGTGTAGTCGAAACTTAAAATTATACTGATTGAAACAGTTGGAAATATGTTTGTATTCTGTTCAGTAACAGTTCTCATTACAAATTATATGCATCAAGGACTTTATCAGACCAGTTGAACTAAATGGTAAATGACCCCTTTGACTAAGCATCAAAAGCGCGTTACAAATAAAAGGCGAATGGGGCATAGGGGTGTGCGGGGTATAGCAGATAAGTAAGCAAACTGTCCATACTGTAAATATTTCCCAGCTGCAGTACTTTGTAGCTGTCTCAGTTCTTCTGTCGGTAATGTTTTTGGTTTTTTATATCGTATGAGTTTGTTTTTCTTCTGTCCTCAAGCTAGTGACGTAGGCAAAACGTACATTCTCTCCGACAACAGTAAAGGAGGCTGGGTTGGCTCTGGGGCGTGTCTGGTTGCAGTGTATGAGAACGTTGCTTATTTCTGACAAGAATTGAAACTGTCGTCCACCTCGCAGATGGCGAAAATTGTATGATACGTGTTTTATAGCTTGTACGGTTTCAGCAGAAGGTAGGTAAAAATGCATCCGTGGACACGAAATATTGTAAGCTGTTGTCTGGGCATACGCAATGCGTTGTGAATCAGTGTACGTAAGTATCTTAGGAACCTGGACAGTGCTTTCGATGACGCACGCTTATATGTGTTATATTTGTGAGGACAGTTTTTATTGAAGGTATTCGCCTTATTTGAAAACTCAGACGAGGTTCTCCCCAAAATATTACACAGAAGGTTCAGTTTATCCCTTAAATTAAGTCCCACTTAGTACTAAAGTGAATTAAGCTTTTATATGGTAATAATTTTAATCAGTTTGTCAGAGGACTTTGAAGATACACGGAAAAGTTAGTGTATGCGTTCTTAACTGAGTCAAAGTTAACGAAAGTTAAAACTGACGGAGAAAGTTTGTCGCTAAGTCTGTATACTTTTAGTTTTTTATGTTTTTGCACTTTGATGCATGCGCCTGCGCATAGATTACTCTTGTAACACGTGTGCCGAAGAAGTAGCCGAGTGAGCACGGCGAGGAAGTATTAATACGTTGTCGTGGTTCGGCTGCTGATTTCGTTAGGCCTTTTCGTATTTCATAGACTGTTAAAGATAGTTGCGCTGATTTTTTCATAAAGTTAATTAGGTGAACATGCATAGTAATACAGTAAACATGTCTTTCGGCATATTTGCCAGTGCCAGGGTTACGGGTTATGAGTCCAAAAACCGCGACAGAAGCATGATTCCTGTTTTACAGCTTGTATTTTACTATAGTCACATTTTTATTATTTGAAGACCACGAATGGTTAGCATGAACAGTTCAGAGATGGCTGGTCACGTTTCTTCCACGTGCGATGTCTTCTCCAGATGGCTGTCTCCTGGGTTGCCGTGAGAACATATTATCTCAAATTCAGACCAGGACGACGAGCGCTTCAAGGTCAGTTGTTCTGTGTGTGACATGGAAGGGGCTAGAGAAGACAACGCTGTTGCGTTGGCAAGCCTGTGACGTTTGTCTTGTGTTTCTGAAAGTCGTAAGGGTGTAATGTAGGAAAGGAGAAAAGGCTTTAATTTAACTGCCGCTGTGTTAGTCACCGTATTGACACGCGGCAGCCAAACGTTTCAGTTGGCCGCGGCACTACAAAGGAGAGACGGATCCGGTTGCTAAGCAACGTCATGTTCGGCAGTCCCAGAGGTTCAGCTTGCGAGATCTAGCGCGGTCAGTAGCTGCAGGACCGACGCAATTCTTTAGGGGCAGTTCCTGTTATTTTATTGCATAACAGTTTGTGTTTCATTGGAACCAGAATGTTCATAAAATCCCGAACCCCATGGTGCGGTATCTTGGGTTGTTGATTGATAAACAACTGGCCAAT